TTTTTTTTTTTTTTTTTTTTTTTTACTGGATTTGTAAAATTTGTTTTTATCAAAGCACATATTAATGTTGTGTCATTACCATATCATGAAATATTTAAGAATTTATAGGGTTTTTTTTTTTGCAATTTCTATTCAAATTTTATTCCATATGTTTTGTTCATGATATCCTTTAGAAGTTTTATGCTTGGTCAATTTGTCCTTACCCCAGATAACACGAAAAAATTCAGTGTAACCAGTTAGTTTCAGGTGTGCTATTGTTGTGGTAGCAGTGAACAAAACCTCCCTTTTAGTCTGGCCTCTCACCTGTAATTCAGTAAAAGCAACAGTTAGTGAGTTTTGTTAGAGAAACAGTACATGCCCCTTTGCAGAGTAGCCTTATCTTAATGACTTACTAATTTCAGAAAGTAAAGCAAAGCATATCTTTAAAGCTGCACAATACCTAGCCTGGTAAGGGGGTCTGGTGCTTTTTGCAGAATCATGGCACACTAAAGCTTATGATCACATAAAACAAGAAGAGGATACTTCATGAATAACACATTACAATGCAAATAAACTGTTTACTTCTACTAGCTATTAGCATGTCTCTGTACACAGAAAACAAGGTATACCCAGGATACTAGACTGCCAAGAGGGAAAACTAGTATGCTGTAGCAGCACAAGGGCGGGCAATTATTTTGGGTGGAGGGCCGCTTACTGAGTTTTGGCAAGCCTTCAAGGGCCGCATGACAGGCAGCCTAGGGCAGATTAATATTAATTTTCGAAATTTTTTAGGGCCCCCGTGGACCGGATAGAATGGCTTGGTGGGCCGCATCCAGCTCACAGGCCACATTTTGCCCACCCCTGCTGTAGCAGCTATCCATTCATATAGCATGTGGTACTTTGGTTTCCTAATAGTTTTGTGTATTAGGATGTGTAAGTTCTTTGCTTGGGGGTATGTGTGTATCACTGGGAACACTCCAGCTTTTTGACTACTCTTTCTGCACTCAAAGAAACAAAATTCTTGTAAACCAGCCCCTGAAGAAAGAACCTCAGGCAGTAGCTAATGCATTGTGAGCCATCCTGAGGAGGGCAAAATTGTAATGAAAAAATAGTATTTATTTCTTTTGCTATACCTGAAGACCAGCTTAGCTGAAATCTTAATAATGGTACTTTTTAAGTGATTTATATTAAGAAGGTTTGAGCACTAAAGTCACAGCATCCAATGCACTCCTTTTAAACAAAAGACAATTAAATATGTTAGAATAGTTACTAATTAGTCACAAAAATGGTGCTGCTCCTCACAGAACTTTTAACTGTTTACATTTTATATTTACTGAATGATTTATGTGTAACAACAGATTTAAGTCTGTTTATATCCAAGTTAAACATTCAGAGTTTTATTCCTTTGAAAAATGCAGATTTCTTGTGAATTTAGGCTGTGCTAATTGATTGCCTTGTGTAGATGCATATTTTGTGAAACAGATTTGAAGAGGAATTTAAATTAGTGGCATATATGAAAATGCATATTTAAAAAAGCATGTAATTCTTACCAGTCACAAAGCATAAAAAATGAATAAGGCTAGTTATTGGGATCATCCAGGAATGAAACTGATGCTGCTCATTATTTTTTCCCCTTAGAATTTTTTGGATAGACTAAATATCCTTTTAAAATTACACTTGGATGAGGAAAATTGCCTATATCCCCATTTTATCTTTTATTTTTCAATAGCTGAAATTCCTTGTTTAAAACATAAAATGCAAGGTTGCAAGAACTGATAATGTCAGAAAGAAAGCTGACTCTAACTTGATAAACTGCAAAGTTGTTACTTTCCTTTCCTGGCTAGATTCCTGGTAAGTGATATCTGTGTGTAGCATTTATGTGCTCACTTGCATTGGATATTTCAGTGTTACATTTTTAGAATGCATGCTTTTTGAGGCAGTTGGGTTTTTTTCAGGGTCTGGCTAAACTGTGTGATACCTCAAACACCATGTCTGTGTTTATTAAGCACTGGAGCATAGTGGACCATTTTCTTGTTGGATTTGGACCAACAGGGGAAGTTTTACCTTTTTATCAAATTTAAAACTGTCAAGTAAAGCCAAACTTATCACATTGTTATACAAAATCAGATGGTGATATGGTGATATGGTGCATGGTTACAGAGCCAGAGAAACTCAGCTAAATCTGACAAAATTACTCCTGATTTATGTCAGTGTAATTGAGAGCAAAATTTGGTCTTGATCCTTCTTGTTTAAGCCAAACATGGGAAAACATAGTTTTCTCTGGTTTTGGTTGGGTGACTGTAACTTTGTAGCACTTGAAGTAGCTGCCCACTTGACTAATCAACAGTGATATAAAGGTTGCTCTTGATACAAAAATTGCTTTCCTAAATGTGTAGGGCTTGATTAATTTCTAATGCCAATATAAACCAACATTGATAGCTCCAGTGAATTCATGCACACTGATGTGAGTGAGATGAAAAAGTTAAGCCCATAATGTTCTGCGGCAAGGATGGACAAAGTGAGGGATTTTTTGAAGACAGCATGCAGCCATTTGCAAGTTAATAGGTTGTTTGTAGTCTAAAAAGCCGTGACTTCAGTCACGGTGGAGTGTTGCATGTTGGAACCAGGGACCTCTCCTAGGCACCATCCTCAGAGCAGTTATGCAGATTCTGCACTCTGCTATATTTTATACAACTTGGGTCCAGACCTTCAGTTCCTGGCTAAATTCCAGTTCTGCTAAATTCCAAGCAAAGTGAAAGAGTTCCACTGTTCTAAGCCATTGTAACATTTTGCTAGTTTAATTTGCAGTCTTTATTCAGTGAATTGTATTTCATATTTCAAGGACAGTTGAACACGGACGCAGGCAGGAATCAGGTGGCTGGTTAGAAATGTCCTTGATGTTCCAGCAGTGGTGGTGGTATAACCATGAAGATTCGCCATTCTGAGAGGAGCAACATTTGCGAGGCAAGGCAGTTTGTTTGATTTTTTTGTTGGACTAGCTGGTGTTTTTGGGGGAGAGAGGAAAGATTAGTTCAGGTTTCAGGCACCCTTTGTCAGGTCTGGGAAAGAAGCAGGCACAATCCAAGCTAAGCACATGTTGTTTTGGTCCATTGGTGATCTGTTGTTCATTTAGATGTGTATATATTGTCCAGTGCACCTTACTACTTATGATTTGTGTAGTTTGATTTATTCTTTTTAAATGGTTCCTTGATGTTTCACTTCCAATAGTCTTTGCCATAGTATGTGCAGCTCTCCACCTCTAGGACATGGGTACTAGTCCCTTCCTGATCAGTCATAAATGAAAATAACTCACATAGTGCATATGTTAACTGAAGTAAATGCCTGTTTGGCACTGGACTAATTCCCACCCTTCTGGGTAGTTGCAACAAAGAGACAGGGCAATGGAGATAGCTATTCTCTTCTTCTCTAGAGAATTGGGTCCTTTTAGCTCATGATAAACATGCTGATAGGGCGGGGGGGGGGGGGG